GAGGAGCAGAGGGAGAGGGAGCAGCAGGCTCCATGCTGAGCAGAAAGCCTGACGCGGGGCTTCATCCCAGGTCATGACCTGGGCCAAAGGCAGAGACTTAAACCAACTCAGCTACTCAGGCATCCTGGCATTTGTATCTTTAAAAGATTGCACAGATCATTCCGGTTTATGAAGGACGAAGCTGCCATATGATCTACCTTTGTCGGAGCTGCCTTTGTAAATACAGTCTGATATTCACCATCATCAAGAATCATGATCAGCTTGAGACAGTCTTACCTATTACTCTTGCATTGCTTTCTACATGGAATTGTGGACACTCTGTATCTTCAGGCTCTCCGCTGTCCTGAGCATAAAAGGGGCTGTCTCCCTGCTTCAGTCCTCCAGTACTCTCCCCTTCACCCTCTAAGGTCAAGTTTTCCCTCCCTGCACTTCTTCCTGTCTTTCTGCTTTCACTGTGCCAATAGGGAAACTCAGCATATTTAACATGGGCAGTTGCCCTCAACCGCCCTGAACTGAGTCGGGCTTCCCTTCTGGCTGAGCCAATAATTCATGAAGCAGCTGCTCTGTTCTAGGTCTCCTTTCAGAGCTGTGTAGTCTAGCTATGTGCACAGTAAATTATAGTTGGAGAATCAAGGAACAGACATTTTAGATTCTTCCCCTATGAAAGAATATATAAAGGAACAATGACCAGATTCTACATAAAAACAGAAATGTGACCCACAACGCGCATCAGCCAGTTCAGGATGCCGATCTACTATATACAGTAACTAGTCCGGGAAGTCATATTAGCATCTGTAGCAGCTAATCTAGGAAGCCAAACAAGAATCCCCGCAGCAATCAGTCCCAAATAGTTAGGACTTAATTAACAACTGCCACTTCCCTGATTTTTGCCCCTGCTTCCAATTCAGGACCATCTGGAAAAAGACAAGTATGCACCCTCAACAATTACATGGAATGCTTCCCTGCTAGTTAGCCTGTCCGTAGCTTCTCCATGCCAACTGCCTCCAGTAATGGCGGACCTGAAGCCTTCTCTTTTTTCCACTCCCCGCTTACCTTTGGGCCTCCGTCAAATGCAAGTGATGGTGGCTGGCTCCCCTGCTTTGAATAAATAGCCTTTGTTTGTTCTCATTTGGCTGGTCTTCATTAATTTCCACAACTAGAAACAAATGGGGCTGCATGTTTGAAATGGCTCACTGAATTCTTCTTTCATGGCTGCAACGAATGTACTTTAGAGAGGCTCTGAGATGTAGCAGAAAGAGCAGAGCAGTCAGCACTCGTGAACTTGAGGAAGTCACGGTCTGGAAGAGTAGCGTGGCTGTGGGTACGGCCACAGGCAGTGGATCCAAACTGCCATGGTTCAATCCTGGCTCTGCTACTCCTTAGCCGTGTCAATTTGGGCAAGTGTAACTTAATGTGTACTACAATTTCCTCATCTGTTAACACACTGGTGATGATAAAATAAGATGAAATCAGAGAGGGAGACAAACCAAAGAGACTCTTAATCACAGGAAACAAACTGAGGGTTGCTGGAGGGGAGGGAGGTGGTAGTATGGGGTAACTGGGTGATGGACATTAAGGAGGGAATGTGATGTAATGAGCACTGGGTTTTACAGAAGACAGATGAATCACTGACCTCTACCTCTGAAACCAATAATACATTATATGTTAATTGAATTTAAATTAAAAAATGAAAATGGTTTCTATATTATAAGCTCTGTTATAATATAGCCTCACAGGGCAACTGTTAAGTGCTATATGAGACAACCCATGTAAAGCATGAATGTCTGGATTTCAATGCCTAGAGAGGGAGAGAGAGAGAGAGAGAGAGAGCAGCAATACTGGGCTGGACTTCCTGAAAAGCAGCAGTGACATGGGACTGAGGACTAACTGTCCCTCTTAGATGGGACATACGCTCTTCCATTTTCAGTCTTCATTCCGTTTGACACATTTATGATAGTTACCTGGCCCCACTGACTACCTGTGGACTGGAATAAAAAGATTATTCTCTCATGAACATAGTAATTCTAGGAAACCAATGGGTGCTGAAACTGCCCATGTCATCCATTTCAAAAAGATCTGGTGTAGGAAGGATCTTATCCCTCAAATGCATACTCTAGAAGTCAAAGAGTCAAGTATTCTTTTCTGACATTTTTACATAAGGGTCATACTTTAAAAAGTACAGAGCTTATAATATAGAAACCATTTTCATTTTTTAATTTAAATTCAATTAATTAACATAGAATGTATTATTGGCTTCTGAGGTACAGGTCAGTGAGTCATCAGTCTTATATAATACCCAGTGCTCATTACATCACATTCCCTCCTTAATGTCCATCACCCAGTTACCCCATACCACCACCTCCCTCCCCTCCAGCAACCCTCAGTTTGTTTCCTATGATTAAGAGTCTCTTTGGTTTGTCTCACTCTCTGATTTCATCTTATTTTATTTTTTCCTCTTTCCCTATGATCCTCTCTTTTACCTAGAAGCCCAATGCCACATTCCACAAAGTATGACCATATTGTTCGTCAACAACAAAACTTTTTTTCTCATAGGTCTTCTGCTATTCTTGCTTTAAAAAAAAAAGGTGATTACGGGGCGCCTGGGTGGCTCAGTCAGTTAAGCGGCTGCCTTCGGCTCAGGTCATGATCCT